ATATACAGGCTTCTTCAAAAGGGGAAAGGTTGCCAATAAGATTCAGTCTTGGGCTGGGATGGCTGGACTTACACAGTTCAACTCTGAAAACCCTTTTCAAGTTGATCTAATGGTTGGCAGAGGTTTGGAAGGGAGAGGAATGCTGGAATAATTGGAGGATGGGGAAACAGGGATCTCCAAACTCAAACTACAATTTGACTTCCTAAGCTCTTTTCATTTTTCAGAATGAATTAACATGTGTACAGGAATCCGGAGGGACCTAAACCAAGTGTTTGATATTTATGATATTTGCACTCAAATTCTGCAATAGGAATCATAGTCATAATTATTGAATGCTGTGGGGGTAGCAGAGGTTTCGTGCTCAGTATTTTCCATGTTGGAGCATTTAATGGAGCACAGGAATGGATCTGGCTAAGGACCCTAAAACTCTTACTAGGAGCAGGTTCTGTTGTCTATGAGAACTGCCAGCTAGTGGCTGTTCTAGAAACAAGAAGAGAGGCACATTTGCACTTGGTTGCGAACCGGAGTGGTAAGTGGCCACTGAATGCTTTGGAGAACTTATTAATGGGTGTATATGTGTTACTCCGCCTCTTCAAAGCCAGAGGAGGGCTATGCTATAATGGACTTACAGCCGGCAGATCAGAACTCATATCCTGGCTCTGCCCTCACTAGCTAAGCCCCACCTTGGGAGACTCATTTAACCCCCCAGCCTGTCTTTCTGTCTGGTAATGGGGATTGATAATGCCAAGTTCACTGGTTCTCAAACATCCATCTGAAGTCTGTCAGTTCTAGCCCAAGATGTGACCTGTGGTCTGGCCTGTGACCAAAATGTGACAATGAAGAAATTAACAATGTTTCACCAACTTAAGTGTGTTCAATTTGAGGGCTTGTCTTTTATTCTGAAATTATGTCCTCTCTAGTTTTATAGTGTTAAAATCCCCTTTTATGAAATGATGATAAAACAGACTGTAATTACAGTTAGTGATTCAATAACTTTTTTTTTTTGAGACAGAGTCTTGCTGTGTCGCCCAGGCCGGAGTGCAATGGCATAATCTCAGCTCACTGCAACCTCTGCCTCTCGGGCTCAAGGAATTCTCCTGCCTCAGCCTCCCGAGTAGCTGGGATTACAGCTGCCTGCCACCATACCCAGCTAATTTTTATATTTTAATAGAGACAGGGTTTCATCCTGTTGGCCAGGTTGGTGTTGAACTCCTGACCTTAAGTGATCCGCCCGCCTCAGCCTCCCATAGTGCTGTAATTACAGGCATGAGCCACCACACCCGGCCAATAATTCATATTTTTCTGTCCTTGCTTGGCAAAATAAGGAGTTGGTATCCTTATGCTAATCACGCTAGTTTGTTGTTATTATACTAGTCTGTGAAATCTAAGTCTGAGAACCACTGGCCCAGTTCACAGCTTGTTATGAGGACTGAAATAAATATGTGAAACTGTATCACTTATAAATACATTAAGGATACCCAAACATAAGGTGTTATTTTAATCATTACCTCTAGCCATAATTTTCTGGCGGGATGTTCCTGGCCATATATGGATACCCTGGGACTGGAAGCTTGAATTCCATGTATTTTCCATCTGTAACAGGTCTGTTCACCAAACTTTCACAAGCAAAATAAAACAGAGAATTCTCCCTGAAAAAGAGAAGAGAAATACTCTTCCTTTGGTTCAGATGTCTCCCTGCTCCCATAGAACACTTTGCTTCTCTGATATGACTTCCTTTAAATTTTCATTGTTAGAAGTCAGGAAACCAAAGCATTTCCCTGTGCGCCTCTAAGGTGTCTCTCCTTAACAGCACAGTAGGCCTGTTTAAACATCGTGGCATTGGAAAGATTATGTCCTAAATTACAGTTTCTCTCCTTCAGTTATAACAAGAAACTTTGTACCTAGACATTTTTGAAAAATACAATCTTAGCATGGCGGCTGAGTATAGAAAGACACCGGCTTATTTGGCTTTGGCTTCAAAATTACTAATAGGTGGTCCAGAGCGGCTTCTTATGTCTTGAACATGTATCATGACACTCGTGAAAGAATTGTTGGCCTTCCAGTTTATATCTTTGATCTTATATAAAATATGCAGTTTTGAGTCTCAAAACAGCTTGTTGGGATCAATTTACTATTCTTTTCATTATTTACCATTTTTTTTTGCATTTGTTTAATCTCCCTGCGTTACCTGCAGCAAGAGAACTGAAGTTCCTTGGTCTCTAGCACTCATACTACATGAAGTCAGGGATTGAGAATTTCAGATTTCAGAGGATTACTATCAGTCAGTCCCAGGCACTGATGTCTATGGAGTTCCCACTCTGCACAGGGTTTTGTTCTGTGCTGTGATGGTTCACAAAAACGAAGCCAAAATGGTTCCTGTCCTCCAAAAGCTTTTGATACTAAAGAGGGGGAAAGAAGATTGGTTAACATATAGGGCTGAGAGAATGTGCTCATCACACACATTCATGTGGGTATGTGAGTGAAATATACATAGAAACTCAAAACGACTAATATGGTACAATACAAGTAAGGCTGTGGAAACTGATCTATCAGTGAGGGTATTAGCTAGATAGTTACGATTAAGTAAGATACTAGTAAGATAGTAAGATATATTAGGTTTAGAGCACATTAAAGCCAGATTTGATCTTTTAGAAGTAAAGTTATTCAAATTGCTGTTTTAACATAAATTTTAGAATAAACTATTTGATTAAAAAAATAACTTTTTCCTGGCTCTGCCACCAGGGTGAGCTTTATGCCTGGGCTGCTAATCTGACTGTCATGTTTTCCACCTGTTTTCCAAAAGGCAGTGGGAATGGCTGCCACTCTTACCGGGGCAAGTACTAGACGTCACTAGAGTCTGAAGAGTTACAAACAAATACATGTGGCTGGGATTGTGAGTCGCTGGTTCTGATTCCGAGCTGCTGGTTCCCTCCCACACTCCATTACCCATTTCTACAAGGAACTCTTCCCAGTGCCACACTCACGACTGGGGATGCCACAGCTGCTGTCACCTTCTCAGAAGAGGAGAAGCTGCTGTCGGATACCCTGCTTGATTGGGAGTTTATGGGGCCCCAAGAGGAGAAGCACCCTCTGCTCTCTGACAAGAAGCAGCTATTGTGCGTGCCCTGACAGCACAGGCTGCTGGACATTGCAGATGCCCGCAATTAGCATCCTGCCACCAGGTTTTGTCTGGCCAGACTCCAAATCACAAGTTGGAAATAGGCTTTTGTGCTTAACAAATATCACTGTGATTAAAAAATAGTAGGCATAACCTTTTAGCCCCGTGGGCTCCTAGTCCTATAGTGTGGTGCATGGCTAGAAGAATCCCCGAACAGGATCTTCTAACATGGGCTCTTGACTTGGTCTGAGGGCAGTGATGGTAAACTTTACAACTCTAGAGATGTTCAAGCTGGAGGAACAGCTGTTCTCCAATGAGGTGGAAGTTTTGCTCATCATCCTTCCTAGGTTACAGGTTTGCACTGGATGAATGACCCAGTTGCAAACAGCCCCTTGTCAGTTCAATGCCATTTCCATTAGCCATTGCTGTGCTAGAGGCATTATATATTATCATGTTTAATGATATTTTTTCTATAGACCAAATTTTAACTCTATTAAAACAACCATATGTTACAGGCCCTGAAACATTTTCCTTCTGTAGGACAATAAAAGTGTCCTAGAAGACCTTCCTCATCTTGTGACATGATTCCTTCCCAAAGCATTCTCTCTGTTCTTTGGATTTAAAACAGTAATAATAAAAATAAACTGCTCTCAGTGTGTAAAGCTATTAATAAGGGTTTCCAGATTTCAACCTAGAGAAGAAGAAACATAAATTAAGAGCACAGAAGTCAAAGAATTGTGCAGCTCTGATTGCAAGCAGTTTATCTCAGTGCTATAGTAGGAAGAACCCAGCCTTTGTGATCAAACAAACAGAACTGCTGCTATTTAGCTGTCTAACCATGGACAATATATTTAGCCTCTCTGCGCCTCAGATTTCTGTTTTCTTTTTTTTTCTTTGAGACAGGGTCTTGCTCTGTCACCCAGGATGAAGCATAGTGGCACAAATCAGGGCTCACTGCAACCTTGACCTCCCATGCTCTAGCAATCCTCCTGCCTCAGCCGCCCAAGTAGCTGGGAACACAGGCATGCACCACCAAGCCCAACTGATTTTTTAAAGTTATTTTGTAGAGATGGGGTCTCACTGTGTGGCCCAGGCTAGTCTTGAATTCCTGGGCTCAAGTGATTCTCCTGCCTCGGCCTCCCAAAGTTCTAGGATTACAGGCATGAGCCACCATGCCTAGCCTTCAGTTTTCTTATTTGTTGGAATTAAGTTAGTTAACAAATACCAAGTTCTCACTGTGTGCCGGGCTGTGTGTCAGGCATTGAGTAAATAGCAGTAAATAGGATAGGCGTGGCTCCTACCCTCATGGAAATTACAGTCTAGCAGGGTCAAGTTAAATGAAATAACATAATATCAAAGTTCTATCCCGAAGTTGGTATTCAATAAATGCTAATCCCCTTCCACTTCCCTTCAAACATCTGATCATTATATATTCTGACACAGTCAAACATAAGATGGCCTCAGACAATTTCATACATACAAGAATTTTGTTGGGAGCCCAGACACCCAGAGTATCAGGTAATTTTTCAGCATTATGTCTCATGAAACTTAGAGCAGTATGCAGCCTTGATTTAAATCCATGTAACCAAGGGTTTCTATTTATGGTCAACAATGAACCCTTATTTTTGGTGAAGCTTAAGGAATTATACAGATATTGCCTCATCGATGCTTTCAGACCATTTGTGAAGTGAATGAGAATAGGTATTGTTATTAAGCCCATTTTACAGGTGAGGAAGCGATTGGAAGCAGATTCTTTGGGGCCTCCTTTGTTCCCTAGTCGTAGTCTGCACCGAGGAAGCGCTGAATAGACGCTGTTTACACGTTGAGGGTTCCGCAACTTGGAAAGGAGGGGTACCCAGTTAGCAAAGAGACGCTGACTCGGAGTTGCGTTGCGGCCGTTCAGCTTCTGTCTTCTCCCTCATCTCTCCAGGTGGGTGAGAGATGGGCGACTGGAGCTTACTGGGGCACATCCTGGAGGAGGTGAACGAGCACTCCACCGTCATCGGCAGAGTGTGGCTCACCGTGCTGTTCATCTTCCGGATCCTCATCCTCGGCACGGCCGCGGAGTTCGTGTGGGGCGACGAGCAGTCCGACTTCGTGTGCAACACCCAGCAGCCTGGCTGCGAGAACGTCTGCTACGACGAGGCGTTCCCCATCTCCCACATCCGCCTGTGGGTGCTGCAGATCATCTTCGTGTCCACCCCGTCCCTGATGTACTTGGGCCACGCGGTGCACCACGTGCGCATGGAGGAGAAGCGCAGGGGCCGCGAGGCGGAGCAGCTGGGCCCGCAGGCGGGGACGGGCGGCGAGCGGGGGCCGCTGGGCGCGGACCAGGGCGGCGGCGGCAAAGGTGCCAAGAAGTTCCGGCTGGAGGGGACCCTGCTGAGGACCTACATCTGCCACATCATCTTCAAGACCCTCTTCGAAGTGGGCTTCGTCGTGGGCCACTACTTCCTGTACGGGTTCCGCATCCTGCCTCTGTATCGCTGCAGCCGCTGGCCCTGCCCCAACGTGGTGGACTGCTTCGTGTCCCGGCCCACGGAGAAAACCATCTTCATCCTGTTCATGCTGTCTGTGGCCTCCGTGTCCCTCTTCCTCAACGTGATGGAGTTGGGCCACTTGGGCCTGAAGGGGATCCGGGCTGCCTTCAAGAGGCCCGTAGAGCCGCCCCTGGGAGAGATTCCTGAGAAATCCCTCCACTCCATTGCTGTCTCCTCCATCCAGAAAGCCAAGGGGTATCAGCTCCTAGAAGAAGAGAAAATCGTTTCCCACTATTTCCCCTTGACCGAGGTTGGGATGGTGGAGACCAGCCCAGTCTCTGCCAAGCCTTTCAATCAGTTCGAGGAGAAGATCAGCACGGCACCCCTGGGTGACTTGTCCCGGGGCTACCAAGAGACTCTGCCTTCCTACGCTCAGGTGGGGGTGCAGGAAGTGGAGGGCGAGGGGCCGCCTGCAGAGGAGGGAGCCGAACCCGAGGTGGAAGAGAAGCAGGAAGCAGAGAGGGTGACCACAGAGGGGCAGGAGAAGGTGGCAGTGCCAGAGGGGGAGAAAGTAGAGACCCCCGGAGTGGGGAAGGAGGGTGAAAAAGAAGAGCTGCAGTCGGAGGTGGCAAAGCAAGGGCTGCCAGCTGAGAAGACGACTTCGCTCTGTCCAGAGCTGACGACAGATGATGCCAGACCCCTGAGCAGGCTGAGCAAAGCCAGCAGCCGAGCCAGGTCAGACGATCTAACTGTATGAAGTGACGCCAAAAAAAAAAAAAAAAAAAAAAAAACGCCCAGGCTTACATAAGGCAAGATGAAAGGAAAATGTGCCAACACGATCTGAGTCTTCTGCCTCCTGCCTTCGCCCCTGATTGGACAGGCAGTGCAGCAGGGCGGTGTATGCCAGGCAACTAGGAAACAGCCTTTCCCACATCCAGCATAAGGGCTACCAAGATAAACCCATGGACCACTAAAGTTCCCAGTCTCATAGGACTGCCCCCTTCCTCCAACCCCAACAGCTGTGGGGGACTCTTCTTTCATGCCCATTTCTCCATAGAAACCCTTACATCAGAATTGGGGTTGCCTCATAGCCTTTTACCAGTCTTGTCTCAAGCTCACTAACTCAGCCAGAATCTATCATCCCAGCATTTCTGAAGCAGATATCATATGACCCTATTTTGGGGATCCCAGCTCAAAAGTCTGCAGAATACAGACAGGTAATGAACGTAAGATACAAGGCGGCCCTGTTCTAATGCAAGGGAGAGAATGGGGCTGTGAAAGCTGGAAAGCAGGAGAAGTTGCTCATTTCCAGGCAATAAGTACCATGAAGTGTTACCTGGTCTTTCCGATTTCTCAAGGGAAGCCAGAAATCCAATATATATATATTTTTAAGACAGGCTCTCTGTTGCCCAGGCTGGAGTGCAGTGGCACAGTCTCAGCTCACTGCAGTCTCAACCTCCCAGGCTCATGTGAGCCTCTCACCTTAGCCTCCAAGTAGCTGGGACTATAGGTGCACACCACCACACCTGGCTAATTTTCCTAGAGATGGGGTTTCACCATGTTGCCTAGGATGGTCTCAAACTCCTGGGCTCAGCCTCCCATAATGCTGGATTACAGGTGTACACCACCCTGCCTGGCCCATGAAATCTAAATTTTAATTGAAACTTTTGAAACTGTTAATGTTGGCAACTAAATTTTATATACAACCTGTGGACCAAATGAAATATGTGCAGGCCAAATTTAACCTGTGAGGCACCAACTTGCAATATCATCTTTTGCTAATTAGCCCAGCTTTCTTATGGAATCGGTCTTCTTATTTATGGTCTCAGCTCGTTTCTGTGGCTCCCAAACCTTGTTTCACTACTTTGGAGTGTTTGGTTTAAATCATCAGTCCAGGAGATATCCAGAGTTCTCACTTACCATTCTTTTGGGTCATTATAGCCCCTGGGTTCTGAAGCAATGATATGCTTTGTATTGGTGGGAATTCTGCCCTGGGTATCATCAGAGAAAGAGAGCAAGATGCCGAAACTCTCCCTGTGAAATCAAAAGGCTTCGAGGACTGGTTGCAGTTTTTTCCTTGAAGCAAAGATCCTTTCTTTATTCCCCTCTTGCAGCATCAGTGCTCAGCCTAAATTCTATACCTCTTTTCATCAGGGACTAGAAGCAAACCCAGTTTTGAGCGGAAGGACACCTGCTCACAGGCCTGTCCTAGGAAGAGGCAGCTCTCAGGCCTTGTGCAGGCACAAGACATGTACCAAAAGGGACATCAGAGTGGCATCAGAGGGAGCCTCACACAAAGTAAGTGCTCACACGGCCAGGATCCCAAAGTGGGGTCCCAGGCCAAACCTCATTCCTAGAAAGGACACAGAGGCTAAAGGGAACAAGAAAAATCTTGAAGGGCTCCTGTCCTCGTATTCCCACAACTCACCCTCCTCAAACACAGAGTCTAGTCAGGGGAAAGCCTCACATAAAAGTACACATTTCACACCGGGAGCAATTTTACCCTCAGCCAATCAATTACCAGAGCAGGAAGAGAAAACTAAGATGGTTCATCTAAACCAACACTATGCTTCATGGGCTGCAGTGCCAAAGACAGTGCAGGAGTTATAGAAACCAAGTTGACATGGCAGGGACCTGGACAGGAGGCCAGCAAGTGACCCAAAAGAGGAGCTTAGAAAAACAGCCTTTGTTGTATCTTCCCAATCCCAATGAGCACCATCTCAAAGCCTACCAATCCCCTTTGCTGCCCTCTGGTTACTACCTTCCTTTTAAGATATTCATTCAAAATATACGTTTCCAAAGCAGGCTTTCTCCAAAACTATTCCTTCCCCTTGACAAAATTTCCATTTCTTGGTGACCCATTCTAAAGCAAAGTAGTCTAAAAATTGAACTCATTTTCAGGTTTGATTGTTTGGTAACTACTCCTGGGGAAAATTGCATTTAAAAGAGAAAGACTAAAGTATATCTTTTACCTGTGTAACCCAAAGTGACAAACCTTCAGTGGAGGCATGTTGAAGAGAAGAGGTATATTTATCTTGTAGACACATGGCTTTCTGACTACTCCTTGATCGTACCCCCTGTAGGCAACCTTATTCCACACAGACCTTCTCCTCTATGGTGAGAGAATTAATAAGATCCCAGGCCTGAGAACCAGAGCGAGCACCCTTGACCCTAACAGCTGCACTACTGTTCCTATAGTTCTGTTCTTGAAGACCCAATTAAAAAGAGCCTTATGAATAGCTTGATCATTACCAGAATAAAGTGTCTATCTCAACTAGAGCCTAATACAAAAAAGAAAAGAAAACGAAAACTGATATCCTGTTCTAAGTAAAACGCCATTTCATACCAGTTGTAGAAACAGGGCTGCTGGCCTCCTCATCTCAGCTGGGACATAAGTGTGTGTGTGTGTCTTTCCTCAGTTGAAGCAGCATCCCACTTCAATGCACGTACCCACCCTGTCCCCACAGTTTCCCTTAGTCTTCCCAATAAAAAGAGAAGCCTATTTAGGAAGAAACAGACACAGCCATCAAGGGGTTGAGATTTTGTTTCTATTTCTTCCATTTAGTAGGCTGTATCATTACTGTGCCTTGAGCTCTCTGTACTTCAGTTTTCTGCCTACGAACTAGAGCTGGCATTTGTCACCTTCCTACGTCCAGGGGTGTCATAAAGGTTGAGTTGGCTGCCAAGCATGAAGCCTGCTGAGAGCTACCACTCCCTGAGAGGGCCAACAGCAGTGAGACTGGGAAGAAGGGGAGGTGGATGGTTTCCATCTGTGCCCCCAACCTGCCTCGTAGTTACCTGGTGAGAGTTTTTCAGTGTGAAGCAGACACTCCAGAGACCAGTTTTCTCAGAAGAGATTCCAAACAGAATCTTAACCCCGTATGTTTAGTAGGAACCTGGGGCTCATTGACCTTAAGAAATGACTGGAGACAGATTGCCAATTACTTTCATCTGCTGAGAAAGATGCCCCGTCTGAAGCTGCCACGTGACTGCAGCCAGTTTCATTCAGAAGCAGCTGCATGTCTGTGGTGGTCCTTGCTCTAGGCAGCTGCACCCCTCAGCATCTGTTTTGAGGCAAATAATTATGACTGACTTGGGATTATAATCCCCATGGGCTTCATTATGTCCAGATTTAGTTTCTACTCCTAGTTGGTCCCTTATTAGATAAAAACCCTAGGGCACATGGACCTACCAATAAAAAGATACATTAGACAGCGGGACATCAGGAGTACAGCTCCCTCCAGAGGAAAGGGACTAATCACTTGATAGCAGTTCTAACACTGCCATCAGGGAAGATCTGTGACCAAGAAGGTTGGAGGTGCTCAAAGTTCAGTTAGAAAGTTTAGAGCCTGGCTGTGTAAACCCTCGCCTAGTGTTTTGGGCATTGTAAAAAAGCCAGTCTGCTTTTCATCATGTCTTTGTCCCCTGCCACACAGGGGAAGCAGCCAGTACAGCATTGGACAGATATTCCTGAAGTTTTGTGTGACCTGGGGACGGTGCCGACTGCCCTTCCTGACTCTGGGTATGCCAAGATGCCGCTTACCTGCTCTATGTGACAGTTTTCTCTATGTTAATTGAGGATAAGTTCTGCCCCTCCTTCACAAGATGTTATAGATCTTTTTAAAAACTTACTAATTTGGAAATAAACGGAAAAAAAAGAAGTCATCGTCAAAATTTGTAAGTCCATATTGTAAAATGTATACTGAAGCAGTGACAGTCATCACTTTCAAATACTGCATAGATTGTTAACTAAGATACTGATCAGAAGTGGGTCAATAACTAAGGAAAATAAGGAAAATAAATTTGGAGGGACAACAGGTAGTCTTGAATTCCTAAGAATTATGGTACAAAAAAAAAAAAGAATCTCTTTAATCACACAAGAATTGGTTGCTGAAAGAGGTGCTGAAGGGACTCGGCTTACTAGAGCTCACCAGTGGAGATCACACATGGAGAAGTGGAGAAGCATCAGCCACTGAGAGGGTCTCTGACTCACGGCAAAAGGGACTCCGTGGACACTGACAGAGCTGCATGCTGGAACTCTCAGTCCAGGTCATGCGGAAGGCCTGTGGCAAGACTGGTACCAATCACTGCTCCTCCCCAGTTCCTGAGGAGGGTCGTTGGGCACATGCTAAGTAAGAAAGAAAACGCCACCCCAACTGCATGTCCCATTCCATTCCTCAGCTTCCTCTTCGCTCCTTTCCCTCACCACGAATTACCCTCTAAGCATACCATGTGGAAAGGATTGCACAACCCAACTTAGCAAAGTTTAGATGAGAACTGTTTGCCTGGTTGCAAGATAAACTCTTCTGAGTGTAAATAAAATCTGTAAAACTAGTAAGTGGGTACCTAGAAGTGATAGCGAAATAGGCAGGGAGACTTTCCCTTTTTGCAATTATTGTATTATAACTAAATATGTGCTTGGGGAAGGGAGGAGAAAAAGGACACAAAGTTCTAGGTTCAGCAGTTGGGTAAGAGGAAAGAAAAACTTTTATGAAAGACAGTTCACCTAGACATTGCAGCTCCCAGAACCAAGAAAAAGGTGGTATTCAGCTCTGGCAGTAGTCACCATGATTCAGTGGGACATCCCAGAGTCGCCAGCGCCACTGCTTTCTGGAAGTTCGCCCAAAAGAAGAAGATTCTAAAAGAATTCATAAGGTTTCCCGAAGGGAAAAGTAGATGGCCCCATGGCCTTTTTCTGCATTTTTTCATCTATGAAACAAAGTGTAAAGACTCAGTTTGTTATGAAACACATTCATAACAAACGACCTGAAGAAATCTCTCCAAAAGAGAGACGCATAATTGGGATGGTGGTCCTGTATTCTCCAACCTTCCACATCCTTGTGTCAGAGCTAGTAGTCATGTGCTAGACTGTTATAAAACAAATAAAATTAACTTGACTTTTCACCAGCTTTGTTTTTTCTTTTTATATGTCAGCTGAACTAGACTGTGAAGAGACTGCCTCAGTTTCTAGTTATTTTTCCTTTGGAGTTGAGGGCCTAGAAAACAAGGGGAGTCAGGTACAGGGGGTGAGGGTGGTATGTTAGTAAATGTTTAACCACCAGCCCTCTCCAGGGTTAACAGGCTGACTTTGTAGTGTTTGCCAATTTCCTTGGTATAAATTCTCCCACTCCCACCATTATGCTACGAGCATAATGTCACTGAATGCAGAGTTGGGAAGATGTGCAATACTGTAACATTATGAAGTTTTCCACAATACAATGGATGTGTACCATTCAGTAGGTATAAATAACCTCAAGAACACAGATGATAGTACAATATTTAGGAAGTGGTCAGCTTTCAATATTTATTACCTTTGTGTTTCATATCTTTTTTGTTTAAATTTATATAACTTAATTGTTAATAATGACTATCCTTAACAAATGACTCACAGGATTCCTGAAAATTTAGCAAACAACTCTCGCCAGCCAGTACAAACCAGCTCTAGCACATCACTGTGTGGGAGGGAAGAGAATCTGATTCAGAAAGAACATGAAAACTTTCTTGATCAATGGAGATTTGGTCCATTTCTCCCCCCCCACCTCCCCGGCCCATTCACTACACAAATCTCAGGAAAAAATAAAAGGTGTATTTGTTTGGACTATGGAAAGGAATGGTAGAATGATATTTGTTCTCTTCCATGTCAATAACAACTATAGAAAGAGTTAAATTTGTTCGTTACAGATAAAAATAAACTGATAACAAAATCAAATTAGCCGAAAGCTTTTGTCTGAGATTTATCATGTTACTTCTCTGCTCAAATTCCTTCTATGGCTCTTCATTGCCTACCAAATAAATTCTAGATTTTTTTAACATGACTTACGAAGCCCTTTGTTACTGACCCCAACCCACCTAGAAACTACAACTGTTTTTACCTGAGCAGAATGTATTCTCCTTCTTTTATAATCTCCATTTCATCTATGGGAAACATCCTTCCTCAGTTAGATGTAGTCTTGATGAACCCCTAGCATCTCATGGTTAAGGGTCAGGTTTTTTCACCCAAATGGGCCAATCAGACACTCTCTCCCTGGAATGTGAATCCTCAATAGGAGTAACAACGAAACTGAAAATTGGTTGGAATTCATTTATCTTGGCTCCTGAAGAAATATTCACAATTAGTTTCTTCTTACCTAGATTTCCAGGAAATGTTTGGCTCCACATCTTTCAGATCATGGTTCTTCAGCCTTCCTTCAATTTTCTAAGCTACCCCAGAGTTTCTTTTTATTTTTTTTAAATTTAACATAGCCAAAATCATCTCTTGCTAACACAGCCCAACTAGTACACCACCTTTCTAGTCTCACCTCTCACATTTGTCTACACATTCCTGAGCCCCAGCCTTACAGAACTATTGGCCAGTAACCCAATATGGATAGTCCTGGCAGATACTGATGAATGTCACATTGTTTCAGGACTCTGTGCTCTGTCCAGCCTTTTTCCTGTGGTCAGCTTCTTCTCATCCTACAAGAGTCAGCTCAGTTGTCTTCCTCTTTATGCAAGTTTACAAACTTCCCAAGAAAAGTCAGTTGCTCCCACTTTTATGGTCTCTCAGTACTTTTGTGCCCATTCTATCACAGCACTTACCAAATCATTGTATTTACTTGCTTTTCTCCCATCTGACTGCAAGCAACTTTAGGACAGAGATTTTATCCTATATCACTGAATACTCAGTACTTGGCACAGTGCCTGGAACGTTGTAATGTTTGCTGAATGAATGAATGATTCCTGAAACATCTCCCAGGGCAGGAAGAAGGTAATCAGCCAAGCACTCCCCAGCAGTAGAGCAAGCTGACACTACAGAGGCATGTAGCTGAGGAAGAGGTTCCCTGAAGGTCCCAGGAGTTTCCAGCTTGAAATAAAGCAAACTTTCTTTGTCACAAATAAAGGAAGAAAAAGATATTTTCATATGAATTACTGGATGTTGTCACCTAGCACAACCCCAGAAGCCACATATTAAAGATGCTGTCACCCTAGCAACCTTGGAAGCCTTGTAATGAAGATGTCAGTCAGTTTTTGGATGTTGTAGATCAGAGGGCTTCCTACCCTGCCAATTTCCATTAATTGGACTTTTAGACCTTATATGAAATGAAAAATAAACGTTTATTATATTAATCCACTCAGATGTCAAGATTTATCTGTTCTAGTATCTAGCGTTATCTATTGCACACCTAACCAAAGGGTACATTGAGGTTAGGTGTGATTATAACAAAAACCTAAAATATGTGGCTTAACAGTCAGTGAGTGGTATAGAAACAAAAATCAAAGCCTACAAAGATGGAGACCCAGGTTTGTGCCATGCAATTATTTAATAAAAATATTACCCGTGTGGCCGGGCGCGGTGGCTCAAGCCTGTAATCCCAGCACTGTGGGAGGCCGAGGCAGGTGGATCACGAGGTCAAGAGATCGAGACCATCCTGGTCAACATGGTGAAACCTCGTCTCTACTAAAAATACAAAAAATTAGCTGGGCATGGTGGCGCGTGCCTGTAGTCCCAGGTACTCAGGAGGCTGGGGCAGGAGAATTGCCTGAACCTGGGAGGCGGAGGTTGCGGTGAGCCGAGATCGTGCCATTGCACTCCAGCCTGGGTAACGAGAGCGAAACTCCATCTCAAAAAAATATATATATATATTACCTGTGATGACTTCTGTATTCGTTGTATATTGCTGCGTAGCAAATTACTCCAAAATGTACTGGCTTAAAACAACAAACATATATTATCCCTCACAGTTTCTGTAGGTCAGGAATTCTAGAGCAGCTTGGGGGTCTCTCAGAAGACTGCAGTCAAATATAGGTGGGGCCTTCGGTTAGCAGAGGTTTGACCAGGATGGTAGGATCCACTCATTCACACAGCTGCATGACCACCAAGATAATGCTGGCAAGTGGTTTCTCTCCACTTGGACCCCTCTATGGGGCTGCTTGAGTGTCTTTATGACCCAGTAGCTGGTTTCCCCCAGAGAAAGTGATTCAAGAGGCCAAAGCAGAAACTTTAGTGTCTTTTATGACCTAAACTTGGAAGAAGTCACGTACCATCAATTCCATCATATTCTGTTGGTCATTTTCTCTCAGACTGCCCCGACCACTGTGGAGAGAATAAACTAGAAAGAAGCAAGATTTAAGGCAAAGACATCAATTTTGGCCCTTTTTTCTGTTTCAATGATTTCATTGTACGTATAATATGCATTGTAATCTGCTCTAAATGCTTCTGTTCAATTGTCACCATAAAGGAAGCCCTCATCCGAGGATAATGTATGGTCATGACCCCTTTGGCCAGGACAGTTTTTGTGTCCTCTTTTTTTTCTTTTCCTACAGCATCTGTTTTTCTCGGCCACTCAGCTTTCCTGAAAACTGTTTAGTGTTTCTAATTCATCCACGTTTTCCAGCTGTATTTTTCTTTCTCATCTGCTGCAGTTTTCATCTTTAAACTAGCTAGATCTGTAGATGGAAGAAACAATGAGGAACCTCCAAAATTGAGTTAGGTCAGTACAACCCAGAGAAAATGATGAGATTAGATAAACACAAGTGACCTGAGCCAGTGGAATATAACTTAACAGTAAAAAAAAAAATCTCCATCATATCTCTAAGGCAGACATCATGACAAGGAATGTCCTTATGATATTACAAAAATAGTTCATCTCTCTAAGATCTCTCAGATCAGAAGGCCCACTTCCTCCAGTTTTTTTCATAATTGTATCAGAGCGAGGCACTAAATTCTAGGACAACTCTATATTTTTCTTGAATTATAGATTACTTGTCTTCCTTTAAGTATTTTTTAGAAATTTACTTATCTAACAGTTGAGGATTCTTCTTTACATTTTTATTAATTCTGTTGACGTAACTTTACTGTGTCTACTCAGGTCCTATACCTATTCTGGGACAGATGAGACTCTCAGTTTTATAGATAAGTAACAGATAGGGAACACAACAGCTAGACAGAGAATAACCTGAAGTCTGGGGAAGTTCCAGAGACATGAGAAGAAAACAATAAACACCAAAAGAATAGCATAATTTCAAAAGATCTTTATTTTAAAAATAAAAATTTATTTATTTAAAATCTGTTTTGTACTCTCAAAAAAAGGATAAAGAACACATGGACTCTATAAAATAATACATAAAACACAAGATAATAAGGTGCTAGACTGAATTGTAAAAGGAGCTGGCAGAGTTAGCAAACAATGCCACAGCAGAATTTAAGAATGAAGAGCAGAATTAGCAATATATAAGACCAAATCAATTCTGTAAAGATTCAATATCAGAAATTCTCCCAAATGCCAAAAGAACGAACAAAGAGATAAAAATTGTCAAAAAAGAAATAATAAATATAGAGGAAAGACATTAAAAATCCAACACATAGGTATCGATGCTCCAGAAGAAAAGTCAGGACAAGTGAACCAACCATAAGCTCTAAAGATATAAGGAAATTTCCTTGAGCTGATAAAAGACATGACACTGCAAACTGGAAGGGACTCATCACGCACCAGGGAAAAAAATCTAGACAAATTTTGATTTGCAAGTATAAAGACATAATTCTGTAATTTAGAAAGGCAAAGAAACAAACCCTGCAGTGGTTTTTGTACCACTGAACAGCTATGCTTCGCATTCTTGTCCGCTTGTGAACACAGAGTAGGGTCAAACCTCTCTCATTAGGGAGGTGAGGCTTCCTTGAAGATAATAGCTATTTCAAATGTCAACTGCTGAAAAGAGAAAGATTTTAAGATGAGAAAAGAGAATTTGGAAAGTGGGCCTTAAACAGGAACGAGAGGGAATTCCTTCCTCTGAGCCTCAGTCTCTTGAGCATACAATCCAAAGAGTCACAATATGCTCACTAGTGCTTCCAAAATAATAAAGGAAAATGGTATCTGCCATAGGGAGGCAAGCTAGGAACCAAGCTGGGGAGTTAATGAGTTAATGCACGTCAAGATCTTAAAACAGTACCTGGCACGTAGTAAGCATTCACAAATATTAGCTATCATCACCTTCATAATTATCACTCCATGTGATAGGATTACTGTAATCTAGCATAATAATATTATTATTATTATTTGAGACAAAGTCTTGCTCTGTTGCCCAGGCTGGAGTGCAGTGACACAATCTCAGCTCACTGCAGCCTCCGCCTCTCAAGTTCAAGCAATTCTCCTGCCTCAGCCTCTGGAGTAGCTGGGATTAGAGGTGTGCACCATCACACCTGGCTAATTTTTGTATTATTAGTAGAAACGGGGTTTCA